GCTCGATAAAGAACGGAAGCAGAGGCACCGATATGAACACCAGGAACACCTACACGTAGAACAGCTGCGTCATCAAGCCCTCCTTCGTCAGGTCGTCGTTCGTACTCAGGTACATGGTCCCCACCATGAAGCCCAGGTAGGTGTACATGAACACGTGGATCCAGTAGATCCCAGGGTTCCGGATGTTGTTCAACCTGTTGCGGTACATGAGCACGCTGAACTGACACAGCGACGACGGCGACGGCTGCTCAATGTCCGGCTAATGCTGCGGCGTCTTGCGGTCGCTCTTGATGCGGTTGATCAGTTCCTTGCGGATCTCACTCTGGGTGTACGACTGCACCATCTGCGGGACGTCTGCGTGGTCGTCGAAGTCTGTATTCACTAGACTGATGAAGTACTCGGCCGGGTTCATGTACTGCGGACAATTGTAGCCTGCTGACGCGAAGTGCGGAGTCATTTGGCGACAGGAGCCACAATACACAGTCTGACCAGCCGACAGCGCTACGATAGTGGGCTGGTTTAGGATGAAGGGGCTTGCGTTGGACAACAGCTCGATGGCGATGCTCAGCGGTGCTTCTGGTTGACGTTTACGACGTCATGCTGGTGCTGTGAAGATTTCCAGCAGCGAGTCCCCGACCTCAAGTATCTGGCCACGGCGCGGAACGTCTTGGACATGTGCGTCGACACGTCTCCGGAGACGAAAATGATCATGCCAAACTGTCTAAAAGTCCTGTAACCTCTTTTTTCGAATATGCCATTACTTAGTTTGGAAGCCTTTTGAATTTTAAACAGAATTTTAGACATTTTACAAAAGTATTTTGGAGCGTTCTGAACACATCCAAAACCATCCCTAGGCGCATGCATATTTTTAGTACCTAATGCCTCCGTTCCGCTCGCCGATGGCTCGCTGCACTACTCGCATGGTTGGCTGGTAATATGCGCCGAGGAGGGCTTTTCGTTGCACCAGGTGCCGTTTTGGGACGCCTCGCTTCGCTCGGCAGCAAAAACCAAATTTTAGCCAATCGAGGGCCGCCATCGCTTCGCTCGGCAGCCAATGACATTTTGGTAGAATTTTGTGACGGACGGACAGACACCGCACTAGCCTACTGTGTGTAGACTAGCCGAGTGCCGCGCGCTTTGCGGGCGGGTGGGCATGGTTGGTCCCAACCCATGGAGCTCGCTGTTCTAGCTCGCCCCACTATGCAAAGCCCACCTTCGCTTCGCTCGGCAGGGGTTGGAGCCTTGCTACATGGAGAGTC